CGCAAACCCTCTTCCAAGACATTCCTCGGGAAGAAAGTTTTCTGCGGGGTTCCACCGATGACTCACCCCTCGAGATTCGTCCCCTCGGTTCGACTCGTTTCGATTCGAGGTTCGGCCAGAAAATCGTCTCGCGTATTATCGAAAAGTTGAGTAGAAATTTTTTAACTCGTTTCGATGTTTCGAAGAAGCGATGCAGAGGAGAGATGCATGTCTCTTTGCGAATGCGAGATGTGTCGTGCGCAAAATTCGTATGAAAACGGGTCAACGATGAATGAACGTTTTGGACGGTTGGAACGTGTTGTGAATAAATTTGCTTGTCTTTCTTTTTTTTTTTTTCACAATATGAATACGAAACACGTGAGATTCGATTTAATCGAATTTACGAAAGCAATTTGTACGATAGATTTATATATACGAATAAAGAATGATAAAGAAGCAAAATTGATACACGAGAACGTTTTATTTATATTCGAAATATTTGGAAATAGATAAGAAGAATGGGGATATGTTGTCTAAAAATAAGACTCTTATACTTTTAACTTTTTTTTTTTTTTTTTACTTGAGATTCAATGTTATTAGTCAGAGGGATGAAATATTTTAACCGTGCACGTCAATATTATACGATATATATATATATATTTGATGTGCAAATGATTGATTTGAAAACAAAATTTCCGGAATTTTTATTTATTTCGAAAAATATTTATCGATATCAATAGCCGATATCGATACAATTCTTTTCCAAATGATCTTTCCAATATCCAATTCCTGTAATTATTTTGAAACATAGTCTTCAACTTTTTCCACCATTTATCATCTCTTCGCAGTCACGAAACATCATTTATCATCTTTAAAAGAAAAAGATCATAAATCATCATTATGCTTGGTAAATAACCATCGCTATAACGTTTTTGATAAAAACATTCATGAATTTTAAGAATCGCTTATTATATATCTTATTTATATGCTCATCAAAAACGTACTATTCATATGTGTTTGAATGCATAAAATTAAATGATTCTCGATCATTTCTTGATCAAATCTTTAATAAATATTTATCATATGAATATAATTGATTTATTTAAGTATAAAGCTTTCAAAAATTTTTGAAAATCAATAGGTTTCAATATATATGTATGCATTAGATTTGGAGGAAATTTATTTCAATTGGAATTACGTTTCTTTGTTTGTTTAGAATCTAAAAAGAATTTTAGATAAAAACGAAGTATTTGAAAAAGGAATTAATCATTTTGATTGAAAATATCATTTATAATTTCAAATATATTTATCAAATACTTTTTCTAAGAAACGCTTCATCATTTCATGCTGTCTTCGAACTAGATATATGTAAGCTATAATAATAACAATAAAAAGAAGAATAAAAAGAGACGTAAATTATAATCGATGAAAATACGATCGTGAATGTATTTCCTCCTCCATTCCATGAAAAATTCGATTTTCGGGCCAAACGACAATGATTAACAGCCAGCGAGCAAAATATCATCCTTTCTTTGTCCCCTTTGCCGCACCCTCTTCCGATAGCCGACTCTCGTTCCGTCCCTCCCACGTTTTCTTCCTTCTTGCTACTCACCTCCTGTGGCATCCTATTCAATCAATACCCGATGCTGCATGCACTGCTTAATATCACGATCCAAATTCCTCGCCCTCGTTTAGAATTTCGATCGTCACAATTCATTCGCATCGATCGTTCGCAATCATTTTCAATGTTAAACAATAACAAGGATAATGTAACTAACTGCAACTAATGTTTGCGTTTCATCAGTAAGAATTATTATTTGAAAATTCTTAAGTTTTTTTTTTCTTTTTATGAAAAATTGTATCAACTGGACAATCAATTGGAATCAAATCATTTTCGATCAATGTAATATTGAACATTAATAAAGATAATGTAACTGCGACAATTTGAAAATCAATATTTTTCAAGCTTGTTTTTTTTTTATGAAAAATTGGAATAAAATTTTAAAAAATGTTTGTTGAATAAAATGGAAAGAAAATTGAAATTGAGATTTATTACGATCATTGTGCTTAATATGTTAATTAAGCGAGATAAATCAAATAGTGATTTTAAACTTTAAACGGGAGCATTGATTTTGGACAAGTTTTATACACAGATATCTGTCTCGATATCTTTTTCTACGCTTCGGTAGATAGCTGTCAGTTAGAATAACTTGACAACTATAAGATATGTATATATATATATATATATTCTGTATCAATAAAATGGAACGGACGTATTCATGGCTCGCCATGCCATTTTATATTACAGACGGATTATTAAAACTGAGGAGAATTTTAAAATGGATATTTTAAGAGAAATTGAAGGAAATAAAATCTTGTGCAAATATTTTACTTTAATCGGATTTAAGTTAAATATTTTACGTGATAATAAATAATACATATGTATTAAATATTTATCATGGTTACATCGATCAATTTATTTCACTTTCTATAACTTACCTTAACTACTTGGCTAATTTGTAATTGTACAGTTTTAATCTCGTAATATGCATGTCGCCGTTAAACGATCCATAAAATAATAGAAGTTGCGTCGAGAGAGAGAAAAAAAAAAAAAAAAAAACAACGTCGAACGACAACACCTTAAAATGATTCGAGACGGTGGAAATACCGGAAAAAATCAGTTATAATTAATTATTTATGATTTATTCATTGAAAGAAGCGATTTTATACGTTTTCTTTTTCGATCGTAAATTTCGATTTTTTATATTTATATAAAATAAAATTTATTAATTAATTAGAATTATTACATTTCATTCTCAATATTATAATCGTTTTAATTGATTATGTTTATAATTTTAGAGTAAATAATAGGCGAGTATTGTAAATATTATGCAAAATTTATCATTTTATAAATATCGCTAGACAGAAAAAGGAAAAGGAAAAATAACCATTTCAAAAAAAAGGATGAAGGTTAAAACAAGCATGTTCTCGTATAGATTAGGTGTATTTGTAGTTGAAAAGATACTCTTTAACTCTTTAACTGCAGGTGTGGTTTATAAATTGCATACTAAAATTATAGCCAGAGACGGATGTATAAACAACATGTTAATTTTTGCTAATATCGAATACAATAAAAAAAAAATCTTTCAAAATAGAATATCACTTCGATATAATAATTTAAAATTAGAACGTGTATACTTATTTTCATTTTATTTTTCTTGATCGTTGATTATAAAATGCATACTTCGTCGATTGGCATGCTTTTACTTTTTATCCTATTTTTGTCCTAAAAGTTTAGTTTCATTTTTACTATTATTCGAGTCTCTTTCAAAGTATATTTTCGTGAACTTTCCCTAACATGGATAAGTCTTCTACTTTGTCCAGTTCCTCGAGAAAAAGGCGCGTTGAACAAAACGTTGACGAATATAGGGTTGAAGTTTTAATATAAATTTTGAGATTTCTTACTTTGTACGTTTTTTGTAATTTATAAAATAATCAGAATTATATCGTTTAGTATTACGATTTAATTTGAGTAAAATATTTTCCTTTTCTTTTTTTTTTTTTTTTCGTTTTAGAGCGATCGACTGTGCTGAAAGTACCCAGTTAAAGTATTAACACCGTGAAATTTTAAGCAAATCCTTATCTATAAAAAGATATAAAGATTTCAAAAAAACAAGATCTCGTCAATTCATTGCATTTTTCTCCATTTTCAAAACACTCTCAAAAACTCTTACTTTTTATATCAGCATTTACATTTACAGGTGTAAATAATAATAATACTTTATAAATTTTATCGACTTTGATCGAATTTGAAAAAATGATTTTCCCTCCCCCTCCCCGTTTTTTCGTCGTTTTTACGATTCCCGTAACGGTGTATATAATTGATCGGAACAGCCGCACGAAACAAGATTCGTCGCTTTCTGGCAGATCAGATTGGATATCCAATCTAACCGTAACGTTGTTTATGGATTAATACTGCTGGGACTATTAACGCTTGTACGAATGTAATTAGCTTTGCGGGAAAGGGATCGAGTTCGATTTTCATCCACCCATAGAATCCGTCTCGGCGATATCCAGCCGCATACCGACAAGAGAGAGAATCGTTGAAGCGGCACAGAAATGCGAGAATCGGAAGGATTAAAACATCGATCGTCGATATATATATATATATATACATGTTTAAAGGAGCAATCGATTAAACTTCGTTCAGAAGCATCGAAGCGTTTGATTTTTGCTTACTCTTTTAGTAGGATTCCTCGAGTTCGAAAATAAAATCCAAAAGCATCGATTTTAAATCTCGGTAGCAATCTCTTTTTTTGCTGCTAATATCGTATAATACTCTTGGATTTTATTTCGAGCTAAAAATTTTCTATATTTACGATCCGTTTGAACTTGTGTTATTAAATTTTCAAAAATTTTAGGAACATCTAGGGTTGGTAACACATACTTATATTGTGAAAGGTTATGTTTGCAGCACTGTGTACAGGTTAGTTTAATTAGATGGTCACGTTGCTGTTTAATTAAAGATACAGAAATATCTACGTAGTTAATTTAATTTAGACCAAACCGGAAAACTTACTATAATCAAATATTCAAATATCAAGTTAATTATCCGAATTAAATTAAACATATAAAATTAATCTAAACCAAATTCAAATTCGAAGTATCGTTCCATCTTTATTGATTCATTAAAGCGATGAAACTAACCTTATTAGAAGTATATGATTTGTAAAATACCAATATTCGAAGATAAATCTCCAAGCAACGAAAACTAAAAAGTGATTTTAAGTTTATATATATACATGCGCATCGAGAAAAAAAAAAAATTCCAAAATTTGTGATACCCAAAACGAAGCTTAACCTCGTTGTTCTGTAATTCGCGTATCGATTGCAGCATCGTTTCGCACTTCGATTTATCCCGGTTGCATTTCCCCCTTCCCCCTGAAACCAGAATTCTCTTTTTTATTAATGATCGATGCGATGCGACGCAAAACGCCACGCAACGCGCATTTCCTCGCTTTGATCGTATCGATTGTCCAAACGAGAACGAACGTTTTGCATATACGTGGAAAACGAAGCCGCGTGCGTTATGCGCCGCTCTGTTCCCGTTTAACTTGGTTTCCGGGCGTGCCGAACAGCTCCCAAATACGATTAGCGGAGGCTTTACGAAACTTGACGCGGCTGAATCCCGTTAGGGGGATGTTATATTTGGTTACGGCACGTTGCTTTCGTGTTCATCGAATTCGACCAAAGAAAATAAAGTTTCGCGTATCGTGAACATCAAATTTTCACCATCTGTCCGCCGTGGCTTGAAACTTTCCCTTCTTAATCATCTTTTTTCTTACGATGTTTCATCACCGTATGTATATATGTGTCTAAACGTCATATTCTAATCTATCGTTTTTCTTTGTGCGTGCATAATACAAAAAGTGGAAGAAGGAAGAAAAGTTATTCTAAAAATTGTGAATTGAAAGGTTTATATCGATTGGTTTTTGGAACGAGCATTGACTTTCGTTTCAATTTCTTATTCATCGTATTAAATTATGAATAAAAAGTGACATCGAATATGTATACATGTATACGTATGTTTAAACGCCATATTCTAACCTATCGTTTTCTTATTCGCGTATTCAGGTTTTCACTGTGCGTGTATAATAAAAAAATGGAGAAAAGAAGAAAAGTTATTTTAAAAATTGTGAATTGAAAGGATCGTTTATATTGATTGATTTTTGGAACGAGCATTTCGTTTCAGTTTCTTATTTAATGTATTAAGTTACGAATAAGAAGTAACATCGAGTACGTATATGTATATATATATATATATGTCTAAACATCATATTCTAACCTATCATTTTCTTACTCGTATACACAGATTTTTTTTGGACGTGTATAATAAAAAAAATGGAGGAAGGAAGAAAAGTTATTCTAAAAATTATGAATTGAAAGGATCGTTTATATTGATTGGTTTTTGGAACGAGCATTGGCTTTCGTTTTAGTTTCTTAATTTATCGTATTAAGTTACGAATAAAAAGTGACATCGAGTTGATACAATATTTAGATACTCTCGTTTGATTCAACACGCGTGCAGCGCGTGTACTACGTACTTATGTGCTTGTCGCAGATTCCCTGACACGATAACATACATATCATACCTGCCATACCAAACTGACAAACATTTGTAAATGAATCATATAAAGGAATGGAAAAGAACTAGCGAAGTTGGCTTCCATGCGTAAATAAGGGTTTTAGATTTAATCCAGTATAATCGATCTCCACTCTCCACATATCGAAGAGCTTCTCTCTCTCTCCTTTACTACTTTTTTTCGCTCAGACCCTTCTTAACGAAACTCTCAATCGCTAAGCTTCCACTCTTACGTTCATACTACATAATCTGGGATAAAATCCCGAATGATTGCTTTCCGTTTTCTATGCCCCGACCAAACAAGAAAAAACTATGTATGTATATAGAAGCTGCTTTATATGTGTGGTATATGTATGTATATGTATACGTATGAGGGAGTTATTTGATATTGAAAAATTCGCGTAAAATATTCTCATGTTGAAAGGAAGATGAAAAGAAATAATGAAAGTGAGTGATTAATAATTCGAATTATATGATATATTTAAAAAAAAAAATTAATATGGAGGATAACGATTGCGCAGAAAATAACATAAGATGATTTTAGAAGAGATAGGTTATTTTTAAAAATAATTCAAATTAATCATCTTAAAAGAATTAAAGTTTCTTTTCTAATCGTATATATAATAAACTATAATTTTTGTAATTGTAGTATCTATTAGAATTAATCGACAATTTTAGTATGATGAAATGTTTCAATATCGGATAAAAAACGATTAAAAAATTTTTAAACGAAATAATTTATAATGTAATAACTTTGTATCAACGCGATAACGCGATAAAATTTTTGATTAAATTCATTTGATGAACTCGTTGGATTTTATTGAAAAACTGATTTTTACAGATATCGCGATACGACTCGACGCGATTATTAAGTTTGCAAATAGTTCATGAAATTTTAACATTTTGTTAAGAGATCGATCGCATTACTTCATGCGTAATATGTTTACGCGGTGAATTAATTCGTGAAATTAAATACGCAGAGCCTCGAAATCGAACCGGCCGGTAGCCGAAGGGAATTTGATTGATAGGAACTGAAGCGACCATCGGGAAAGCACTTTAGATAATTGGATAACTGTTAAATCTCATTAGGTAAACCTAACAAGTAGGAACTTGTACGCATAGCTTGGTAACGTATATGTGTGTAGGCTCGATAAATTCGCGATATTGAACAAAGATGTCGTTCAATACTTATAGTTGCTGGCTCCCTTATCTGATTCTGATTCACGTTGATTCATGAATCGCTTATAATTGCTTATAAAAAGTAAGCTTCAACGGATATTTTTGCATAAAAATTTTGTTCGTATTTGCAGAGTCTTTAAACCCATCCCTAAAATTCTGTATATAGAGAATGATTGTGTCGTTGCATGATATAATTATGGTGTATAACTTAAAATGAGGAGTTCTTCGAATTATGGACGTTTCTCGAGATATTTCCATTTTATGCAAATTTTATGATGTACAAATTTAATCTTAATTTATATTATATTTAAATTGTTTAACATTGTACTGCAATAATTCACTGAGATACGAAGAGATTAAATGGAAAAATATTTTTTTTCGAATTAATATTTTTTAAAACAGAAAAAAGATAATTTTAAAGAATTTATTCTTATTTTAATAGTTTTCAATAATATATTTCGCATTTTTAATGTTATTATTAACATTGATGCGTAATGCGAATTCGTGATCAAAATGAATGACACGTTAATCTTAATTTTTTACATTATTTACAAATGATTGCACTTATATTAAAAAATACCAAGATTCAAGACATTAAAAGTTTATTATATCATTTTTGGATAAAAAAAAAATAGTGTGAAAATTAAATATTATTAAAAATTAAATTTTAATATTTCTTCTATTATTGATAACTATAATTTGATATTAAATTAAAATAAAAATTCTTATGTCTGTTTTTACTACTTTATATTTATTACTTAAATATACATTTAATAAGATATTGTACACATATAATTATTTTTTATATGTATGTAATGAGAAAATATTCGGAATAAAGATATTCAAAATCATTTTTTAATGGAATTAAAAATTAATTTTTTTATATCATATTATTTCATATTTTAGGAATAAAGTTTATCATTATTTATCATTGAATTCATTTGAATTTATATTGATTTAAATCTTATAAATATAACGATTTTTATAAAGGAAAGTTTCAATGTTAAATATCTCGAAACATGATTTTAACATTAAACGACACGCCTTTATTTCTCATCAATTTACTTAAAAAATATACAATAATTCCTAAATTTATTTTAAAAGTATTATAGCTCATTTATCGGTTATTAGAAATTTATCGTTTAAAATATTTGAAATTCCTTTAAAATAGCAATTAATATGTTTTTAATTTTTTCTTTCCAATTTACTTAATTCACCAGAAATATTTTTTAAATTACTTATATAATTCATATATATATTTCTAACAAATCATTCATTAATAAAAAATATTTTCAGTTGAAATTGTATATAAAATATGAAAAAATAGTGAAAACTTGAGGATTAATTTCACACATTAATTTCAAAGATATTTTCTATCGAAATATAAATTGTTCTGCACCAAATCTATTATAGTCTACATATACAATTTTTATTGAAATCAGATTCATTAACATTTTTTCTTCTATGTTGCTTGAACTTGTTTGTGCTCGGTGATAGCACGTAGCCAACACTATTGTCGCGGCTCGATTAGGCTACATGCTTCGTGATTGGTAGTATTATTTGTTAATAATTTAGTTAAAAAAGCCGTAATGAAAGTTTTTTCAAAAGAAAATGTTATTTAAAATTATTTCTTATATAAATCTTTTTAGACTTTCCAACTTTGTTAGAACAATTCATATTTATTTCCTTGTAAGATAGCTTTCTTAATACTTTTGATGTCTTATATAGCATGCATATAGCACAACAGATAACATATAGAATATTCTTGTATTTTTAAAGATATATGTTGTATAAGAATTATAAAAAAAATATATTTAGACTTTTTTTCAAAAATATTTTCAGAATTTTTTAATCAAAAAACATATTTCTGATCTTAGTATTTTAATTGTTTAATTAAAACCTATTGAAATATATATTTTTGTAAGCAATTAATTACAATCAAATTAACTTATCAGAAAATATAATGTTAGCGCATGTAATTCAATTTATAAATTAATTTAAAAATGAAATTATTAATTCATAATATTAATTTTATAGATATTGAATTGAATTAATAAAATTGTGTCAATTTTTTATTCTGATAAAATAAATAGAATGCGCATTATTGTTTAGAAGAGGACATCTTTTATATTCACAAAAATATTATTAAATGTAATTAGACATATTATACATTATTAAATATAGTTTATATTAAGTAAATTATAGCAATCTAAAACCACTTCTATTTGCAATCATTCATATTACATGAATTAATATAAATGCAACTATTTCTACGAAAAATATCGAAGTTATAACAAGAAAAGAAACTTAATAATATACTATATAACAATTTTACAATTTTATACAAAATTTAAATGATATTAAAATTGAATGTATGAATTCATTAGAGTAAATCAATTTATTTTTTTGCTTTCATAAATTCCATAATACCCTCCCCTAGAGCAATTTAATACGAACCACTTCAGAAATCAAATAACCAATTTCATTTTTACAAATTTCAATATCAGAGATACGATTTTTAAATACCAAACGATTTATCTTATTAAAGATAATCATTTTAGGGTAAAAATCTAAAATAAATTACTTATTACAAAAAAATTATTACAAATGGCCATCGACATCGTTTTAACTTAAAATAATGAATTTTCATCAGAAAACTTTCTAACGAACAAGCTTTATTCTGTTTTCTATTTCCTATGTTGTCGTTTTTTTTTTTTAAATTAATCACAAATCCTTGTACTCTTTATTTTACACATTTATTTGGATCAAAGGAAAACTAACGTGACGATGTATTTATTGAAGCAATATTTATATCAACCCCCACGTATCACGTGGTAGATTAATAAAATTTACGTAACACGATCGTTTTCAAAAAAGACTGTCTTTGGAACAGCCGGTCAATGGTCGATACCTTTAAATGGATGCTTTGACATTGCAGGGCTAAACGATAGTAACGAGTCACTCAGTACAGGAGTGTATGTATCACGTTTGTAGGGTGATATTAAATACGGGTGTATCGAGTTGCGAACAAGTCGAGCGTGAACGCGCAAGTAAATGGATCTATGTACAATGTGTACTCATGAAAATCGGGAATGCTTATGGCAGCTGTTACGAAGCAGCGTGATGTGACATCGAAACGAAGAGATATGATTGAAATTATATTCCGCATCAAGGATTAATATTCCAATTTTTAATTCAGTTTTTACGTTTTTTTTTTTTTTTACTCTCTTCCGTTGTGTTTTATCTCAATTCGTTGTGAACTGAAATTAAATTAAAAAGTCGATAATAAATAAGTATCGAACAACAACATTCGGATTATATTTTTTTATTTCTGACAGATACATATGAATAAATATATTTTTTTTCTCATATTTTTCTGATCAATTTCCAATTAATTTTGTAAAAATATATAATATGTATGCAAAGTAAAATTATACAGTTAAAAGGAACTTTTTTTAAAGAGAAGAAAAAAAAAAAAAAGAAAAAAGAATTATTATATTTACGTAAATTATCAATATAAGATTATTGATAATCAATACTTCAATTTTATTAACGCATTTTGAATTGGACAATGAAAAAAATAACGTTATCGAATTAAGCATTAAAATTGAAAAATAAGATGAATTTTCAGATTAACAAAGAAAGGATTAAACGAAATAGAATATATCTGTAAAAATTGTTGTACGATTTCTTATTTCAGTTGAAGTTTCTTAGAAATAGAACATAAAAGAAGATGAAATCGAATATTGCTGTGCTTGGAATATTTACAAGAAAAAAATAAAGAAAAAACAAATAAAAATCTAAAAAAAGATAATTAATAATATCGTAAAGCGATAGTAAACATCGGGAGATAGGATACCCCCTTGACCTATATTCTTGACGTCACTGT